TGAAATGGAAATGAGACCAATCGGACCAATCACCACAGATTAGCGTCACGCAAAGAAGGGGTTTGGAAAAATTAATCGTTGAGCGAATCGTTAGGGAGTCGTTGAGCAAGTAAGGTAAAAATAAATACATATTATAAGACAATGAAAGTGTTTTTTGACCTTGCATGCATGTCAACCTATTGTTGGGGACTCCCAAAACCAAAATATGAACCTTTCATAACCCATAATAGGGGCATATTAAGATTATTTTTGCTCTTTCCAAGCCACATTCATACTCTTTCAAATGCAGTATGTGTGTGTGCAAGTGGGTCTGTATAATGTCATTTTGACTTACTGCTGGAGCATTAGGCACTAGGTCGTTTTCATGCCGGCCTGTCTGCATGACCGTATGCACACACACCGTCTCATAAATGGATGGCTCTTCCACCTGCCGTGGGTATGGGAACCGCAGCACTATCATGTTTCCTTGGTTACAAGAGTGAAACAGGAAACGGGGTCACTGTGCCAAAGAAATGCTGAAAAGCAGTTTGTGAACTGTAAGTTAAAAGCACATAGCTAACCTGTCTCGCTGCCTAGCAAGGGCTGATTGGCAAGGTGACTGCAAAAATCCTGAAGGGAAGGAAATTCACTGAAACCAAAGGAATATTTGCCAAACTGCCGCCGGACATGAAAGTGTTTCACTGAATCCTTTGCTCTGAAGAAGTTTGGAGATGAAAAAGGAGTGAGGAAGTGCTGTCATGCTGTGTCTGAAATCTCAGTATTGTTCAGTGTTAACTTGTTTATAGAACTGGTGTATAAAAGCGATATCACACCAAGTTGTATTGAAATAGGCAGAAAATTAATTCTACAAGGTCACACACTATAAATGAGGTGCCAAATAATCTCGCATTTAAGCATCAGTCAGAGTCACAGTGACCCAGGCAGGTTACTGCCTCATGGCTTGTGTGAATCAAAAATAAGGGTCATTTTTTTTTAAAATTGAGATTTATACATTTCTGAATAAATAAGCTTTCCATTGATGTATGGTTTGTTATGATAGGACAATATTTGGCCGAGATACAACTATTTGAACATATGGAATCTGAGGGTGCAAGAAAATCGCCTTTAAAGTTGACCAAATGAAGTGCTTAGCAATGCATATTACTAATGATAATACATGTTTGATATATTTACGGTAGGAAATTTACAAAATATCTTCATGGATCATGATCTTTACTTAATATCCTAATGATTTTTGGCATAAAAGAAAAATCGATAATTTTGACCCATACAATGTATTTTTGGCTATTGCTACAAATATACCTGTGCTAATTATGACTGCTTTTGTGGTCCATGGTCACATTTATATATTTCAGTAGGAGTAAGAATAAGTAGCTTTACTTTAAAGACACAAGAGAAAGTGAGGTTCACAGCTGATACATTGAAAAGGGGAACTGAAAAAACTTTAAGTAATCTAAAGAACCTCAGAAAATAAGAGAAATGGAAAAAATAAGAGGACTAACAAAACTATTGGTTAATCATTTGACTTTTTAACTTGCTTGCTTAATGAAAGGTCAGAGGATGACAGTTCATTTTAGAAATGGCGAGTGACTATTTTGCTACGAATAACAAAAAACTTTCTATTCACCAAAGAATCCTGAAAAAAAGCATGCATGATGGTTTCCACACAAATATTAAGCAGTGCAACTGTTTTCAACATTGATAACAATAAGAAATGTTTCTAGAGCAGCAAATCAGCATATTAGAATGATTTCTGAAGAATCATCAGACACTGAAGACTGGAGTAATGACTGCTGAAAATTCAGCTTTGCCACCACAGGAATGATTTACATTTTAAAAATATTTTTAAAAATAGGAAAAAATAAAATAAAATAAAATAAATAAAAAATGAGACTTGGTTGCCTGCAAAGCTACAATTCTATGAAAAGTTTTGTTTTTAAGTACTAAAAAATAGTTAGGTTGTTTTTTATTAACTAAGTCAAATTAATATTTGTCTATTGTCCAAAGTACCCTTGCATACAATTTTTAATGATAGCTTTTGCAGGTACATTCCTCCATAAATTGAACGGAGTGCACACAGGGAAAATATTCAAGTGTGTTTGTGTCTGAGCAATACTGCACGTTAATATCAAAGTGATTCAACTGAGTGGACCAAGTAATTATAAACTTTTATCCGAGGTGGACATTTCTTACCGGACAGACAAAGCATAGCAGTCAGGTCCTTTGTTGCTGTTTCTGAGTAAAAAATACCCATCTACCCCATTTGAAAGGAGAAGAGCTTCAGTGGCGTGCCAGGACAAATCATAATGATACCAGCTACAAAGAGAAACAGAATGGGGCACTTGAACACCAAGCCAAGATGTATGTTGATATCCACTATTGTCTGTCAACATCCACACACAGTTACCAGAGCTTTGGAAACTGGCATCTGGGTAAGACAACACAATGGATATGTGTATTATATATTGATGCACATGAGTGATTTCTCTTAAAACAAGGATAACACAGCACTGCATTACCACAGCAACAAAATAAAGCTGATTTCATTTGCATATTTTACTTAAATGGAAATCCATTTAGGATTGTCATGTATTTCAAGAACGATGTACACATCACCATGCTTCTCTGTTATTAGACTGATATTACAGAACAGTGACCTTAATACAATAACCCGCAGGCTGTATTGTGCCGTTTATTTACATAATGTGGTGGTGACATATTTGCTGTTGTTCCAGTATGTTGGTATGGGTATGGCGTATTTGTCCCTCATTATGCCTATATATCAAGTATAGCCTTAGCATAATGTTATGGGGTAAATCTTATTATAAAAATAAAAACATTTATGGACGGGATGATTCTCATACTTGTATCAACAGTCTTTTGACAATTGAATGTAAAACATCCACATGCATTACTGTAATTAGAATTGAGCTGAATGTGCTTACTGGTCATCAAAATAATGTCACAACGCTAATAAACAAACAAACAAAAAAGCAAACAAACAAAATTAATGGCCCTTAACAGGCTCCTTTTGGGGTGAAATATACCCCTGACATGTTAGGCTTTGTGGGATTTCTAAAAAGCCTTTGTTTAATGACTATGACATAAAAAAAATGTTTTTTAAATACACTGAAAAAAAATTTTTTTTACTTTTGTTTTGCTATGTTGCCCTTTACCAAAAAAATTTAATAATTAATTATATACAGTGAATGAAAATAAATGTTTTACATATGTTTTGCTATGTTGCTCTTTAACAAAAAAAAGTGAAATTATATACAGTGAATAAAAAAATGTTTTACATTTGTTTTGCTATATTGCTCTCTAACAGTGAAATTATATAACAGTGAATGAGCAATACGTTTTCTTCAACCCTTTCATTCACTATAGATGAATAAAACGATAAAAGTATTTCCTCATTATTTCGCTGACGCCGCTATTAACTTCAGCAACAAACAGGTGTAGCTACAAATCAATTCAACGGCACAAACCAGACAACAGTTTGCTCTTCATAAACTTATGTTTCTTTCTTTCTTTCTTTCTTTATTGTTTTCATTTTCACATAACACTGTAAAAACAATATGATAAACTACTTTGACAAAAACAAATTTAGGTCAAGAAACATAAAAGAGGATCTGAGACTAATACACACAAACTTTATTTAGAGGAGTTCAAATAAAAGAGTTTATGGTTACTGAGCTTAATCCTGTGATTATTACAGTACCGCCGCTCCCTATACGCAGAGTACGCAATTTGCATAGGGCACCAACTCCCAGGGGGGCACCATCCCAGTTGCTCAAAAAAAAAGAAAAACTCTCGTTCTATATTAATATTAACATATGCATATACATAAATAAAAATCTAAACATGAACATATATATTATATATATAATTATAAAAAAATGCATTTTATGATGAACGCAGTAGGCAGTATAAGCACACGTGACGCGCCATTCCTGCATCTGCGCCCGCTCTCACCTCATGTTTGCGCATGCGGCTGAATACAAACGATCATCATAATTAATGGACAACTAGGCTATATCAGGGAAAAGACATCAGCACAGTCCGGCGATGAGAAAATAAAAATAAAAAAGCCTGATATGAAGCCTGTGCATCACTTTCAGGTAACTACGTTCATAATCCTGTGAAACTTTTTTGACTGTTGACGTTAGTAACGTGTTTTAATGTCGGTAATAATTTCACCTCCACCAACAACGCATCTGACTTAATATTCTAGTTTCCATGACTTAAAATTTATTATTACACGGCTCTGTGGAATACGACATTCCGAGGTATGCTATCCCTCGATAACAACCGGTAAAAGCTAATAACACAGGCTCATCCGGGTAACAGCAGTCGGCGCTGTACTCTTGCTTGAACTATTTTTTCTTGGTGGAAGCTTTGCGTTTGTTTAGCTAATAAAATATTAAAACTGGATTCAAAATGGTGTACAATTATTTAATTATGTCATCCTGGTATCGCGGACTCGCTCTCGTTTCATACAAACGCAGCTGCTGCCATTTTGCTACGATTGTTTTGTACGCTGTAATGGATTCTAAGAGAATTAACAAGATTTTAAAACATTTTCGTCTTAATTCTTTTATTGCCTTAATTATTTTTGTGGTGAAATGTTGTGTAATAAGTGGTTTGACTGCACCGTTTCCCTTAAATGTCCGTCTAGTTTGAATTTGCCGCTTGCTCGCAACTGCTGTCTTCACGGAAGCTTTGCGTTCAAATATTTCAACTCAAATCAATATTTCGCTCTAATTATTTACTTATGTGGCAAGTAGCCATGTAATAAG